GGTTTAAACAGTATGTAGCAGGCAGAATAATAATCCCCCACCAAAAATGTCTAACATCCTCATTTCTGGACCTGTTTATATGTGAAGTTCCATGGCAAAGTGAAATTAAGTTTGTAGAAAGAATTAAGGTTGCTATTGGCTGTAATGAAGATCAGGAATTATCCTGGATTATCAGGTGAGCCCAATGTAATCACAGAAGTCTTTCTACATGAAGGAGGCAGGGGAAAGAAAGATAGCAGCATGACACAACTCGGTCTGACAGTGCTAGCTTTGAAGATGAAGCAATGGGGCCACAAGCCAAGGAATGCAAGCAGTGAAAGAAAGAAAACAATTCTCTCCCGAAGCCTCTGAAAGGAATGGCGTTCCCATGGATACTTTGACCTTAGCCAGTGAGACCTGTTTTCTGACTTCCAAAATTGGAAGAGAACAAATTTCTATTGTTCTAAGTCACTAGTTTGTGGTAATTTGTTATAGCAGTGATAGAGAACAAACACATTCGGGTCATTAGGGAAGGCCTCTCTGAGCAGGGAAAATAACAAAAGGGCATTAGGAAACCAGGCAGGCTGGGCAGAGAAGGGTTAGGCCTTCAAGCAAAGGAAGCCACAGAAGTTGAGGCAAGAAGGAGCAAGTACCTCATTCCTCCTACCAGAGTGCAGTGGGCCCCATGCCTGCCCCACCCTTGCAGCAGGTCCAGACATCCTCTCTGGTCTCAAGCTCCCACTCCATCCCTCCTCCTTACTTCCCACTTCTTCAAGAAAACAAAAGGCATCAGTTCAGAGAGTAACCTAATTGCAAGACATCTAGAAATGATGTTCACCAACCCATGGCAAAGTACAGCGCCTAAGACCATAGGGACCTGGTCACGTTCCTTCATATACATTACTGTGACTAGCCTCCCCTCCACCAGCTTCTGCATCTTCAGTGGCCCAGGGAAGAAAGACAATGACACTATCAGGACTTGATGGCATTCTGGCCTAAAACCCCAAAACAAGAGTCAGGTAAGGGACTGGCAGAGGGGCACATGATCCCTTGACTGGTTCTCAAAGGCGCTTACCTTGCTTTTAGACTCCCTGAAGCCAAAGGGCAATGGGCTCCCCTTTCTTCTCTCTCTAGCCTGGAATTTTTAAGAGTTTCAAATGCCATGTCAATATCTATGAGGTTACACAAATACCTTCAGGCAGGAATCAAGCAGTTATACCCATCAAGACACTAGGGAATCTCTGGTGCAAAACTTTTGGCATTTGCTGACTCAAAGAAAATAAAATCTGAAAACTGTCTCCAGTCTAAGCTGGTATAATACGCTGGATTTGCTTTCTTCAATGTAACTGATCAGCAAAGGCTGTGCAGAGTTTGCAGAGCTGCAGAAACAGAGTCTATAAACACTTCAGAAGCACAAGAAGCTGTGCTTGGCAGACTTGGGGAGCCCTGGAGCTGGAGGGGCAGGCAGGATTCAAAGCAAGTGTGAGTTCAAGCCAACAAGCTGATGTTTAATACACAACATTACATCTGTTTTTTCAGGCCCCAAAATTCAACTGTCCAAGGGTACCTTGGAGGTAGTCCTTCCTCTGTGTGTCCTGAAAGCAAACATTATAAAGGGAGGTTTTACTTACAAATGGAAACAGTGCCAGCCAAGTGCTTCCCAAAGTCTATGTCCACACTGCAGCCAACCACAAACCACTAACCATTACTGCAACCAATGGCAGTGCAGCTGCCCCACAGCCAGGCAAACAGGGCCAACAGCTATCCTGGAGTCTTGCCAGCTCTTTTCTCCAAACACACCAGGCCCTCAGGATCTATGAAATGGGTCCAATCAAGTAAATACCTCACAGGCTCAGAAGCCCAAGAGGTTAAGAATCAGAAATCTGAACAAATACCAAGTTGAAATCCTCAAACAGGTTGCGGTATATCCAGGCCCTGACTGCTAGGACCTGATGATATGTGACAGTTCCTTATTTGTAGCAGGAGTCTAGGCAGATGGGATGAAGCTAAGATCTTGAGATGGGGGAGATTATCCTAGTGGGTCCTAAATGCGCACGTACCCTAGGAGAGAGAAGAAGAGGGAGAACTGGCACATACAGAGTGGAAGGTGAGAAGAAGATGGAGCAGGGAGAGATCTAAAGATCTTGGCCTCAACAGAATGCAACCTCAGCAAGGAATGACAAGGGTCACGTGGAGCTCAGTCTTCTTAGGGAGCCCCACCCTGCCAGCACCAAGACTTTGGCCCAGCAATACTGATTTTAGACTCTTGGGCTGAAGAACTGTAAAAGAAGTTTCTACTGTTTTAAGCATCAAGTTTGTGGTAATTTTGTTGTAGTGCTACAGGTCACCCAAGAAACAGAATTTTGGAAACAAGAGTCCCAAAGATGTGATACTGGTTGGGACCCTGGGAATCAGGAACTAAGGGCTATAATTACTAAGCTGGGATCCCAGCCCTGATGCTAGGCCTGGCACTAAGTGCTGGGGTGCAGGAGAAGAAAAACCAGTGAGCCAGGCAAGAAGGGGGAGGAGAGGAGAAGAATGAAGAGAAGGAAGGGTCACAGGCAGAGAGAAGGAAGAAAGCAGAGACTCCTGGACAGCAGGCTTGGCTGCCAAAATTCTTGTTTTTTCTCTCTCCACACTGTGTACCTTCCCTCTGTGCCAGAGGGCTGAGTCCCAGGGGACCAATAGCCACCCCTGTTTAGCTGATGCCAGCAGACCTAGTTAAGCTGTGCCCTTGCTCAGTCCTGTGACTCCTGCTGCCACCATTAATGGACAAGGAGACATTATCTGTTCCCACTGGGGGCTCTGCCAAGCCCAAGGCCTAGTAATTAGGGTTGCAGGAGTCATGGGGCCAGAGGGCAGGCTTTGTTTGGATAAACTTGAGAAAGTTCAGCTGCTTCTCTGAGCTTGGCCTCTTGGGGGTTTATAGAGGAGAGCTGGAAGGGCCAGGTGGGTAGCCTTAGCTTCACCTGCTAACATGCCCATGGGACAAGGCCTGGATCTGTCACTATCTCCCCTTTTGCCCACACTGAGAAGCCAGAGTCAACCAATTCAGAAAGCACATGGGCAGCACAGCACAGGAGAAGGAGCACCTCACCAAAGCCAAGATCCCCACGTGTAAGCTGTGCAGCCTCGAGCTGCTCCCTCACTTCTCTAGAAATGGGCACTAAACTCTTGAGCTAGCCCTACCTCAGAGTCATTGTGTCAAAGGGCTCTAGGGAAAACTCTGCATCCTATAAAGTGCTACAGAAATGAGCAGGGCCGTTCATTTATGGCTTGGGATACATTTTAACCCGCTAAAGGATGGGAAACAAGGAGCCTGGGTGGATGAGGATGGTATATGTCCTACCTCCTCAGGGCCTGACACACACTATTTCCCTGGGATCTGCCATGGGCCCATCTTTGCATCAGAAAAGGGAAAGGTTTGCTGCGGAACCTGGCAAGTCTCCCCAGCATTGGCAAGACCCAGGCCAAGAGTACACACAGAGGCCAGAGCCCATATGTCTCATATTTAAAAGGCATAAATCAAACTAACAAACCGTTAAATGAAATATGCTCCATCCTCCTACCTTATTAAATACATCTTCTGCACAACCTGAAAGGCAGAGATGGAATTTAGAATTCTGGGACTCTTGGCATTCTGTGCCAGGGCAAAGCCCACATGACCATGACCTGACTTGCCACTCTCCTGGCCCTTGGTTCCACTCATCACTGTGTGGGGGTTCACACACACCTGTGGGACACCCAGGCCTCACATCCAAGCTCTTGATGGCATCCACAAAGAGCCCATTCAGAGGCATACAGACCAGTGATATGGGTACCTTCAGAAGAACAGCCTGGGGAAGAGGCTGGAAGGGGCTGGGTTCTACTTGGGTAGGTCTCCAGGTGAGCTGTAAGGAAGAGCATGGACATGTCCCCTTGGCCCTGGGAATCACTTTGGTACATCAAGGGAGCAGGGCACTGCCCCAGAAGGGCCAGAGTGTACCTTCTAAGAGCAGCTTCTAGAGCGGGGGTCTCTCTTACCTTGTTATAAGGGTGGTTCTTACTGGTGTCTAGTGGTGGCCCTGCCTCCCACTTGCTGGGTGACTCAGGCTCATCCCAGCCTCTTTCTTTATTGCCTTGCCAATAAGGTCGGATGAATGACTCCTTCTACTTCTAAGACTGGTTGTGGGGCTCCAAAGAGAAAGTGGGTGGGGATTGGGAGTGCTTTGTAAAATGCCCAGAGGGTCGATGGCGTGGGTCAGAAGAGGATGAGCCCTCAGAGCCCCCAGGTGTGGAAAAGAGTGGTGTGGTCCCTGTGAAACAAGTGACTATGCCACCCCATGAAGAAAGTGTAATAACATCCGACAGTGGCCCTATTTTTCCCAGTTTTTAAAAAGTATCTTTCACAAAGGATACTTGGGTATCTCTGCTACGCTAATTCTCTTAATATACAACCAGCCAGCACCTTGAGGATGTGTTGTTGTGCCTCCACAATGCAAGGAGACTGACATGGTGACCTACTTTTCAAATTTCTTGAAACTGACACATCACTAGCTGGGGGATCAGGTTTCAATGGTGTTCTTTTAGAATCAAGTGATAAGCCAACAACCTGTTTGTCTTGATCATATTGTCTTCAACTTCCAAGAGTAAGGCCACCACCAAAAGCACCTCAGGGCCTTCCCTCTGGTTTGTGTCACACACAACACTGGGGATGGGGAGATGGAGGGAAGGTTAGGGAAGCCCCTCCAACTGGCTAGTCCAGCACCCCTCTGTGTTCTGACATCCCATGTGGCCAAAAAAGGGCTGCTTAAGTGACAGACAGGGGACCTTCTCTCTGATGTTCTCCCCAGAGTGGCCACTGTTGTCCCAGTCCCACTGCAGACCCAGCTGCAGGAAAAGGCTGAGCTGACTTCTGCTGATTTAGTCAGATCTGCTTCTCAGATACATGGAGGTCACCCAGGCTGTTTGGGGTAATGCCCCCCCACCTACTGAAACCCCATCCGAGGCCTGCTGTGAGGATGCTGATAGTGTAAACTCACCAGGCACCATCCCTGTCAGCGTCGGCGCTGAGTAGCTACCCTGTCCAGCGGGGGGGACGTGTGGAGGGTATCCAGGAAGGGTCGTGCTCGCCAAGTCTCGGCCTGAGGAATCAAAGCAACAAATCACTGGGTGAGCATCTCAGCAGTGTTGCTCATCCACAGCTTCCCGGAAACATCTGCACCTTTGTCACGTCTGCTCACTGAACACCAGCATTCCCCCCAGTACCCCTCATTGCCCATACACACTCACACACACATACACACTCACACATACACTCACACACACACACACACATACACACACACACACACACACACACACACACACACATATGTATGCAATTACACCCCACATGCCTTGGCTGTACTCAGCAAGAACCAAGTCAGGACTGTGGCTTATCCCTGGGAAACCAGAACTTCTCAGGGAGGTGAGATGAAGAGGTGCTACATGCTGGGCTGTCTTTTCCTGGAATACGACTTGGACTGCCCCACTTCTGCCCATTGCTTCTGCTGGGTCCTTAGTATGCAGCCTCCTACCACCAAGCCTCTGTCCTATCCCCTGACAGCCCATGACGGATGGGAGGGGACATTCCCACCTCAGACCCTCTGGCTCCAGATCTGGCTTGGGATTCTCTCCCTCCTAACCAGTGTTGTCCTTTGGTGAAGATACAGGAAGCTCCTCTCAGTGGTCCAGTGCCAGCGGCCCTGGCACTGACACATGGCGGTGAAGGCCCTGGCCCTCCACAGGTGGCCACTCCAGTGGCAAGAGTCTGGTATTTTGCAGGCTCCCAGTTCCTTGAGGCAGGGATGACCTCGTATCCATCACCCAGAAAGCCTGTCTCACCACATGGCATGGCACACAGTAGGTTCTTGATGAATAAATTCAGAAGCCAATCAACCATTCAAAGGCACTTGTTTCCAGACCATGTGGAAAGAAATCCCCAGGTAGTGGATCCGTGTAAGGGAGACACCACTGTAGTGTGTCTATCTCTTGGGGGGGGGAGGGGTCCGCAGCACCTCAGAACCCTCTTGCCACTTCTATGTACCAAGGTCATCATGAGTAAGACTGTCCCCTGCACCCTGAGGGAGGGATCACACTGTTCTGTGATTGCTGTTGGGCAATGAGGGGAAGACCCCACCCCTGTGGAAGGAAAGAGATACTGCCACTGTCAGCCATACTGGGAAGTGGTGGGAATGAGGTGATCTTGGGGCTAGGTACGGACTGGGTGGAGGGGAAGGAACCTCAGCCTCCTTTGGGTGTGGACTCTGAGGACAGGCAGGGGGTAGATGTGTCAGAAGAGGCCCAGGGGTGTGGGTGAGTGATCACTGGCTACCAGAGCCAGCCTGAGTCTCCGGAACACCCAGCGGCACACTGGTAGATGACTGGGAGCCCAGCTACACTAACTGGTAGCCACAGGAGAAGGGCTACCTCTGACTAATGCTCCCCCAGAGGATCCAAGCCAGTACATGGTCTGAGCCTGTGAATGTTCCCTGGAACCAACAGCCCTTCTAGATCCATCACTGAAAGACTTTCCAGAACACCACAGCAGCAGACAAAAGACTCCTTCCTGCCTCTGCTCACTCCCTCCCTACCTTGGACTGGACATCTCCCTTGTGTCTCTTCACATGAGGCATTGCTAGAGGGGGGCCCATCAGCCCCCACATGAACTATACCCATCAGAGCTATTTATGTTCTCCATGGGAGCCGATTAAACAGGTCTGACAGTACTAGTGAGGTGACTTAAGGAGATTTGCCCTGACTAGCCCTCCTGTGCTTCCCTCATCCTCAGTGGCAGCAACTCTCTGTGCAGAGTGGACTCTCTAGGAATCAGATCTTTGTACTCTGAGGTCAGAATAGCACAGGCCTAAAGTATTTGCTGAGTGAATGAAAGACATGGCCTTGCTAGAGAAGCAGGGATCTCAGGAGTCCACAACAGTTCCCTTCATTCATGCTCAGGAATCAATGCAAGAAGGACTCTGGGAGCTCTTCTTGACCAACCCCTGCTGCCATTTTGCAGACAGAAAGACTGAGACCTAAGGTGGGGTGGTGGAGCACCTGTGCCTGACTTGGCACCCACAGGACAGGTGGCAAAGCAGGTACCTCAGCCCTTTTTCTAACATCAGTTCAAGGCTCTCTTCCACCCTGGGTGGGTGGACACACTAAGGCTCAGTCTTCTCTGCCACTGTTACCAGGTGTCCAGGTGCAGCTGAACAGGTGTCTGAGAAAGCAGAGTGTAAGTAAGTCACACTACTCAGTACATGATTGAAATGCCAGTGGCCAGATGGTAAGACAGGTGGGGCAGGCAGAGAAGGCAGCTGATGGCAGGGGCTGCTGTGATGACCTGGTTCCCACCAATCAGGGAGGCCCCGCCACCAGACTCACACCCTACAAACACTGACATAGAAATTAAAAACATGAGACTCTGTCCTAGTATTTTAAATGGTTAACTTTAACCCTTTCCCTATGGGGAAAGGTGGTGACACTATCTCCCATCTCACAGGAAAATGAGACTTGTGTCATGCTGCCCAGTCACAGCCAGGACTTGAAGCCAAACAATCCAATGTCAAAGTCCATGTAGTTAACCACTCCACTGCACTGCCTTGCAATGGACCAGTCTGTGCTTTGGGCTGAGTCCAATGGCACCACTGTTTCTCAACTGGGGCACTGCCACCATTGCCTGATAGCTGCATCTTCTAGAAGGAAGCTCAACTGCATGGTTTTTAAGCCGAGTTTGTGGGGGAAAAGGCCAGGACATAAGAGGGGGATACCAAACCTGTGTCCTGAAAGGTGGAGGGTGCTGTCTTGACAGGAGCCTGCCTGGTGCAGCTGCTCACACCCTTCCAGCTGCCTGAAGGGGGAGGGACTTGTCCAAGGACACTCAGAAGATCTGACCAAGGTTGGGCCTGGAGTCCAGTGCTCCTGCTTCCTGGGATGGGGGTCTTCCCTCAATAGGGGACTGTCCTTTTGCTCATGTTTGGCCAACAGTTTTCTGCTGCTGGTGCACATGCTTAAAACCTTGATTCCTCAAGCAAAGGTTCAGAAAATCAGAGCCTTACTGAAGCACTCAACTCAGAAAGCCAGATAAAAAAGCAATAAAAGCAACCTAGGGAAAAGAGGAGGAAGGAATCGATAAAGAAAAAGCGGAAAATAATGAATTAGGGAACAGAAAAGCAGACACAACAGTAAATACAACCAAGAACTGGTATTTGAAAAGATCACAAAATAAACAAACCTGGATCAAGATTTTAAAAACAAACCTTCAATTATCAAGGTAAGGAATGAGGAGAAGATAAAACTAGAGAGATACAGAAATGATATAACTGAAAATATACTCCTCATTAATAAATATGGAAATCTAGATAAGAGATTCAATTTTCTAAATTATCAAATTTAGCTTTTAATGAAATTTTAATAAATTTATAATAAAAATTATAATGTTAAAATCTTTTATACCTAAAATTTGATAATAAAATTTTTTAATAAACTACGAAAGTTAACTCAAGAATAGGTAGAAAATACCAGTGGCCCACTAACCTTGGAAAAAATAGAAAAAAAAGTCTCTTTCAAAAATAAGTGCCTTATCCACTTAGCTTCTTGCATAAGTGTTTATTTGTTTTTATTTGGGGCAAGTTCTTTTAAATCTTCAATAGATACATTCTCCTGTTATTAAACTGTTCCAAGATATATTAAACCAAGAAACTCTGCTGAATTTATTCCACCAAGCCAGCATAATCTGGACTTAAAAATTTACCAAAAGCAGTGCAAAAAAAATATTAAAGGCTAGTCTCATGATTTATATTAATATAGTAACAAATTACTTAATGTCTTCATCCTTAGGAGGGCGCTCTACCACTTGAGCCACTCTGTCAGCCCTATTGTCTTCATTCTTATTGCTACTGTTAATTTGTTAATTCACTAATAGTACTAAAACACTAATTGAACAGGAGAGAAGCAGTTCTATAATAACTATAATACTAATTGAACAGGAGAGATACTATACTATACATGGCAGTATATGCCATGATCAAGTGACATTCATTCCAAGTATGCATGGATTGTTCAATATTAAAATACTGGTCAGGATATCATGTTCATGCACCAAAGAAGGAAAACCATATGATTATATCAAAGATTTGGAAAGGTATTGGCTAAAGTTCAATACTTAGTAAATAAGAATTGAAATGCACTTCTTTGATCTTATATCAATTTTAAATGTAAAGTCAATGTTATACTTAGTTGTTGAAACACCTGGAGAATTCCTAGTGAAGTCAAGAGCATGACAAGGAAACCTATTATCAACATGATTGCTGAAAATTGTGCTGAAGGTTTTAGCCAATGCAATAAGACAAGATAAAGACCTAGCTGGTGGCATGGCTCAAGTGGAAGAGTGCCTGCCTAACCAGTGCAAGACCCTGAGTTCTAACGCCAATACTGCCAAAAAAAAAAAAAAAGAATAGGAGGAAACTGAGGAATGAAGGTCAAATAACCTGTGTAAGGAAGCATCACTGGTGAGGCCAAGTGAAGAAGAGGGTGGAGAATCGGGAAGACAGGTCAATCAGGGAGCAGCAGGGAGGGCTGCGGGTTGAAGTAGGACAGAGGTGGGGTCAAGGCTGCTGGAAGTCATGCTCATTCAGGATGAAACTCACACCACCAGTCTGGCTCACGCTGAGTTCTACCAGGGCAGAGCTGCACATAGCAAGTGCTCAACAGCTATCTGTAGGAGCAGGATAAGAAGGCCACCTGGGGCCCTGTGACTAATTCCAGTCCCATTTTTGCTTCTGAACCTCCATGAGTCTCGGGGCAAGTCCCAATCTCCCTCCCCCGACCTCATTCTCCCAGTTTAAAAAGAGCTCTCAGTTCAACCATCTCCCAGAGCCCCAAAGCTTCTGCTGGCCTGAGAGCATATACACAAAGAGCAAGTTCACTGTCAGGTGAGGTCCAGGTGCCTGCAGCCCTAACCCTCCTTGGACCCACTCGTCCCTGTGGGTGTGCTGGTCCTCCCTGGGACTCTGGCTTCCAGTTGTCCCTGTGTCCAGCCTCAGTGGGGCTTTGGGTCAGTCCAGGCCTTGCCTGGGACTTGTCATCATGCTGTCATCCCTTT